GGAGAACGTCGTGCAGCACCACCGGCTTGCCATCCGCTCCCTTAAATGCAGCTCGTCCCGCACCAGCCACCTTCAACATGTGTCCAGAGGCAGAGCACACCTCATTAATCGGTGCAGCGCGTACGTCGTCCAGCAGGTCCTTGCGCGGCGTCATTGTCCAAGCAGCGCCTGTGTCCAACACCCAATAGTCCAGGGGGTGCAGCTCTGCTCCAGCCTTAGCAGAGGCGTCTCCTTGCTCCCCCTTGTCTCCCATATGGAAGAATTGGCCCGCGGTGCGCTCCTTCTTCTTCTCCGCACCGCCGTTGCCCTTTGGGTTGTTGTCGGACGAATCAGCGATCATGTTGGCACCGTTTTTCTGGTTCCTCCGCGCGCCGCCATCCTGGTGACGATTCTGGGGGGTCCATCCATCGGGTTTCTTATAGCACAAAAACCAGGGGTGCCCTTCCTTCTCACAATACCAGCAACTCCCTTTCATTTTGCCACCAGCACCCGACTTGCCCCCACGTCCAGATTTTGCACCGCGACCCCAACCGGTACCTCCTTGTTGGTCGTTGGAGTCGTCGTCTTTCTTTGCACCGCGTCCAGCACCACCGAAGCCACGTCCTTTGCCACGTCGGCTCCCTTGCATCCCGTAGCCGCTGCTGCCGTCGTCTCCTCCCCTCAGTTGGCGGCGACGGAAGTCCTCCTCCAGAATCTTCGTCCGCACCCACTCGAGCGTCCACAAGCTCTGGTTCTGCGGCAGGCTCAATCCGCTCGTAAATTGAAGCCACGATTCCGGCAGCAGCGAGAGCATCTTCAAGCACTTTGTTTGCTCCGGGTAGGTGATTCCCGCGGTCGCCAACTTCGCGTAGAGGTCGCGCATTTTGTCCAGGACAGGTTGCACCGGCTCTCCCTCGCTCAGGCGCAACGCGGACAGCTCCCTCTCCAGCATCAATGTTGCAACAACGGAGGTCGGGGCGTGCAGCTCCTTCAACACCGTCCACGCCTTCGGACCACACTCAGCCTCCGGCAGCAGGTGCATGACGTGGTGACGCTGGTTCAGCTCCAAACTCTGCGACATCAAGTAGTAGCCAGCCGAGGCGCGCTCGTCCCAATCTTCCTGAAGGGCGGGGTCACTCGGTCTAGGCTCCTCCCCAATCATTAGTTTCAGCAATCCGATTTGACGGAAATAAAGTTGCATTTTCCAGGCCCAATCATCATAGCCCTCACCATTGAACTTCTCGACGGTGAAGTTTTTCAGCACCTCCTTGATCAGCGAGCCCTGGCTTGTTCGCGCTCCCCTTGGCGCAGAAACACCAGAATTATGGCTGCCGCTACGATCTTGGGCTGAAGTTTCACCAGCTACCGCCGAGGTGTTGCCCGCCATAGCTACCTATATCGAGGATCACTATAACGCAGCTCTGATACCAGCTTGTTGGTGTAAGGGCCTAATAAACTCAAGCTATTAAGACTTTATCACACTTAAAACCTCTCCTCGGGGTCACCTCCAAGGGTCCTTGGGTGCCTGGTACAAGACCAGCCCCTATCCTCGGGTCCGAGTTTGTAGAGAGAGGGATCAAGAGGGACTTAGTCAAAACAGCAAGAGTACCTTGAACGTCGCGCAGCGTATCGTGCAGACCGTCGATCGGATTAAGCTGAGAATTTCCTATATCGAAGCTCACTCTAAGAGCTTTAAAATAAGCCAAGTTGCCTCGCGAAAAGTTCTGCCATTATGAAGTTATGGCTCGGACAGCGTTAGCCTAGCGTTGGAGTGCTAGCGTACTAGCGTTGACTCGGGTAGCATTCCGCCATCGCACCGCGTAGAAAAGAAATTCCAGCAAGGAAGGAATTCGCTTGAATCAATTTCACTATATTCAGGTACAAACAGAGAAGGAATAAATAGCTCTAGCTAGCAAGGACCTTGGGAATCAACCTGGGAACAACCAGGGATGATCCCAAATAATTCCAAGCAACAGAACCAACCTGGCTGGACAAAATACCAGGTGATAGGTTGGTGAACAACCTCTGGTTCTGTTTTTCCAACCTGGGAAAACAACAACCAGGTTCAGGTCCTAAAAACAGAACCTGTTTTGTCTTTGCCCAACCAGCCAAATGCTGGTTCCGCTGGTTTCCCCTGGCCCTGTAGCATGCAGATACAGACAAACAACATCCAACCTTCACCTAAATTGTACCCCTATAGTGCCTGCCCTGCTACACTATAGTCAACCAAACAAAACAGTACAATTTCGAGTTGGATAGAACTGAATCTGCGCAATCAAGTAAGTTGAACCGCAAAGCTTCCATCTTGGGTTCCTTTGCGAGCTCGTCCTTTCTGCTTGTACTGTTCATAGCGCGTACAATGTTATGCCGAAGCGCACATTGTGCGAGTACCTGCAAATGCTTCAAGCGAAAATTGCGAAAGCAAACAAACACACAAACATACCATTCACACGCAAATGCATTCGTACACTCATACTCGTACAAACAGACGGCAGGATGTCGTGCAATGTGAATTTGCACCCAACAGCTAGTACGTTATGCCGGATACGTCCCCAAGATCAGAGTAAGTACTTGACTGATCATGCAATCAATCATCATTTTCCCCTAAACCAACTGATTACTATCGCCTGATCATTTTGCGCGCACGTGGTACTTGGATGTTGCAATAGAGGTTGTCAGGTATGGTCGAAGAGAGGAGTGGTATGCAAGGCTGTTTCTGTTGTTCCATACAAAAATACGAGGAGAGCGAGAGGAGTTGGCTTACACTGAATATTGGAATGCAACCGAAGAGGATGCTGCAACAGGATGCCTTCGCCTCAAGTGGATGAAAGAGGTGTATGCATATGCTGTGATTTCTATTGAAGCGTTGCTCCGCCACGTCCATGTGGTGAAGGCATTTCATCTGGAGAGTAACTATCTCACTCATAAGTATCAGATGTGATGCATATATCTTGTAATAAAATGGATACCTTCTTAATATACAGTCACATGTTCTTGAAGTAAAAGCTAATAAAATTCTTCCAAGATTTACAAAAAAAAAAAAAAGACATGCTTCAACTGAACGACGATGTACCAACGTCGAGAATTCAATTTCCAAAACTTACAAACAAGCGCGGTCCAATTTTGTTCTGCGATTCTGGTCGCAATTTGGTTTTGGAGCTTCGCCAACCAAAATACCTGAACTGTACACTACTTCGAACCCCCTTTAAAAAACAAGGTTTCTATGATGAAGAGGCCACAAGGCTAGTTCACATCCAAAAACATAGCAAATATAGAAGATCCAAGAGTACAAGATATGACAAGCATCTCCATAAAAGCAACAAGGCCTGTTCATAAGGAGAGATATTGGATATATAGTGAGATGAAAGAGTACAAGACAAAGCATCTTTACACAAGCAAGTGAGGGCCGGTAGACACAAGGCCTAGCTGGGTGCAGAAACGCTGGTGGTCACAAGGCGGAGAAGATACGCTGGTGGTGAAGATATCTGCAGTGTTGGCCTCAGAGATCACATGTGTGTGTCCACACTGCTACAACTGTCGTAGAAGGAAGTAACCAAGCTGATGTGCTTCGCCTCCCCAACCAGTCAGGGCTCTTCACACAACGGGACAGAAGACATGTCGGCAAACAAGACTGGATGAGAGCGGGGCCGCTCACCAAGGCCGGTGAGGAGAAAAGACAGCCAGCGAAGCTCCTTTGCGGGCATGGCTGCAGCGTACACCTCTACCTTACAGCTGAAACTCGAGCCGGACGACGCCAGAGTCGACCTACACGAAACAGCTTCGGTCCTAAAGTTGAAGCAGTAACCCTATATAGACCATAACAATTCAGCGTCGTTGGCCTACGATGAGTCCGAGAAACCTGTGAGTGTAACTGGCTGCTTCCCTCCAAGAACAAGTGTCAAACTTATATGCTATAGTCTGTGTAGGCTGCAGTGGGGTAGACTATATGGGGTACAACACTTCTAGGTTTTCCTGCTTGTACCCACCTCTTTCCTAGTTCATTCATTCTTCATTTCTTCACATGGTATAGAGCAGGTTCCCTAGTGGGAACGCTTCCATGGGCCCACCACTGAAATTTTTTCTTTCTGACCGGAGCGCCAGTTGCTCCTGCCCGAGGCGCGCCTTGTGGGCCGCCCTTCTGTCGAGCTCTCTTAGAGGCCCCTCTCACGGCCCCTCGTGCCGCCCCTAGCGGCCCCGTCGCCGCCCTTCCAGGCCCCTCGCAGCCCTTAGCGGCCACATCGCCGCCCCTACGCGGCCGCGTCGCCGCCCCTAGCGGCCCCGTCGCCGCCCCTAGCGGCCCCATCGCCGCCTCTCTCCCTACGCGGCCCCGCAGCCGCCCCTACGCGGCCCCGTCGCCGCCCCTACGCGGCCCCGTCGCCGCCCCTACCGGCCTCGTCACCGCCCCTAGCGGCCCCGTCACCGCCTCTCTCCCTACGCGGCCCCGTCGCCGCCCCTAGCGGCCCCGTCGCCGCCTCCCTCCCTACGCGGCCCCGTCGCCGCCCCTACGCGGCCCCGTCGTCGCCCCTAGCGGCACCGTCACCGCTCACCTCCCTACACGGCCCCGTCGCCGCCACTACGCGGCCTCGACGCCGCCCCTACGCGGCCCCGTCGCAGCCCCTACGCGGCCCCGTAGCCGCCCCTAGCGGCCCCGTCGCCGCTCCCCTCCCTACGCGGCCCCGTCGCCGCCCCTAGCGGCCCCATCGCCGCCTCTGCTGGCCCCGTCGCCGCCTCTACCGGCCCCGTCGCCCCCTCTACCGGCCCCTTCACCGCTGAGCAGCCGAGCCACCAAGCCGCCGAGCCGCCCAGCAGCTGAGCCGCCCAACAGCCAAGCCGCTGAGCCGCCGAGCCGCCCAGCAACCAAGCCGCCGAGCCGCCCGGCAGCCGAGCCGCCCAACAACCGAGCCGCCGAGCCGCCCAGCAACCGAGCTGCCGAGCCGCCGACCAGCCGAGCCGCCGAGCCGCCCTGCCGTCGAGCCGCTACTCGGACTGGTGAGATCACTCCCTGCTAGGCCACTACAGTCATGGCTACCCCCAATGTCCTTACCTTTGATGCTGAGGGTCGTGTTGTTGACTTTGAGGTCTGGGTCGATGACCTCCAGCTGTTCCTAGAGTACGATAGGGCAGACGAACTCTCCCTGTTCGATCTCACCTCTGGTGCCTCTCCTGCCCCGCGTGCTACTGCTGACAGCACTGTTCGCTCACAGTGGGCCACACGCGATGCTGCTGCCCGTCTTGCTGTGCGTTGCCACTTACCGACCACTGAGCGTGCGCACTTTAGCCAGTACAAGAGTGCTAAGACCTTGTATAACGCCGTAGTTGCACGCTACACTTCCCCTGCCACTGCTGCGCTTAGCCGCCTCATGCTGCCGTACCTGTTCCCTGACCTTGCTGCCTTTCCCACAGTCGCTGACCTCATTACGCACCTTCGCACTAGCGACATTTGCTACCGCGCTGCGCTTCCTACTGAGTTTTGTGCCAAGAACCTGTTGGGTGAAAATTCACATTGCACGACATCCTGCCGTCTGTTTGTACGAGTGTGCGTGTGCGAATGCATTTGCGTGTGAATGGTATGTTCGTGTGTTTGTTTGCTTTCGCAATTTTCGCTTGAAGCATTTGCAGGTACTCGCACAATATGCGCTTCGGCATAACATTGTACGCGCTATAAACAGTACAAGCAGAAAGGACGAGCTCGCAAAGGAACCCAAGATGGAAGCTTTGCGGTTCGGCTTACTTGATTGCGCAGATTCAGTTCTATCCAACTCGAAATTGTACTGTTTTGTTTGGTTAACTATAGTGTAGCAGGGCAGGCACTATCGGGGTACAATTTAGGTGAAGGTTGGATGTTGTTTGTCTGTATCTGCATGCTACAGGGCCAGGGGAAACCAGCGGAACCAGCATTTGGCTGGTTGGGCAAAGACAAAACAGGTTCTGTTTTTAGGACCTGAACCTGGTTGTTGTTTTCCCAGGTTGGAAAAACAGAACCAGAGGTTGTTGACCAACCTACCACCTGCTATTTTGTCCAGCCAGGTTGGTTCTGTTGCTTGGAATTATTTGGGATCATCCCTGGTTGTTCCCAGGTTGATTCCCAAGGTCCTTGCTAGCTAGAGCTATTTATTCCTTCTCTGTTTGTACCTGAATATAGTGAAATTGATTCAAGCAAATTCCTTCCTTGCTGGAATTTCGTTTCTACGCGGTGCGACGGCGGAATGCTACCCGAGTCAACGCTAGTACGCTAGCACTCCAACGCTAGGCTAACGCTGTCCGAGCCATAACTTCGTAATGGCAGAACTTTTCGCGAGGCAACTTGGCTTATTTTCAAGCTCTTAGAGAGAGCTTCGATATAGAAAATTCTCAGCTTAATCCGATCGACGGTCTGCACGATACGCTGCGCGACATTCAATGTACTCTTGCTGTTTTGACTAAGTCCCTCTTGATCCCTCTCTCTACAAACTCGGACCCGATGATAGGGGCTGGTCTTGTACCAGGCACCCAAGGACCCTTGGAGGTGACCCCGAGGAGAGGTTTTAAGTTTGATAAAGTCTTAATAGCTTGAGTTTATTAAGCCCTTACACCAACAGAACCCCCCCCCCCCATGTACATCACCCTCTACTACGTAGTCACCCGGCTCCCTGACTCCCTTCCCTTAGTCAGGGACCACTTCCTCTCAGTTTGCCCCACCACACTCACCGTCGACCTCCTCGAGGAGCGCCTCCTAGCAGCAGAGAAGAGCATGGTCGCTGTAGGAGCCTCTCGTGGTTACCCTCGCACCCCCGTCTTTGAGGGATGTTCCCCGTCCCCCCTCTTGCCCTCTGTTGCTTCTGCTGCTGCGGCCAACCTCGTTGGTTTCGAGTCGGTCGGCGCTGCGTCTGCTCCTAGCGGGAAACGCCGCATCGGCAAGGGCAAGGAGGGCAAGGGCGCTGGAGGGGCTGGCGGGGGCGGTGGAGGTGGTGGTGGAGGTAGTGGAGGGGGTGGGGGTGGTGGTGGGAGTGGTGGCGGCTACACCAACACCATTGGCTCCCATGACCTTGGCATTCCCAACACCAATTACAGGGAGCAAAGCACCTGAAGCGGCAGCCACAAACTTGATCTTCCCGGGAGGTTTTACCTCATCAAGCAAATCTGCCTGTGGGGTCATATGACTCGTGCAACCTGAATGAGTGAGGGGGTGCATCACAACCTTCCCAACTGAACCCACATCACCCCCACTCTCTTGCACATCCTCAACCATGAGGAACCTCCCAGGGTCGGCTTTACCTTGTGCACCTGAACCTTGCACACCGCTACCGCGTGCACGTTCACCACTTGGCGGCTTCATGCCTGAAGGGGCCCATCCCTCAGGCCGGCTGAAACACTTGAACCACGGGTGTCCAGCCTTCTTGCAGTACTAGCACGCACCCTCCATTCGGGTGCTCCTCCTGCCACCAAAGCTCCCATGCCCCTCATTGTAGTCACCTCGGCCTCTCCCTCTGCCAAAGCCTCTCCCACGGCCTCGGCCTCTCCCTCCCCCTCTTCCTCTGCTGCTTCCTGCAGCTCCATACCCCTCAGCAATTTTGTTGGCAGCACCACCTCCCGTGTGGCGCCTGCGGAAGTCCTCCTGCAGGATCTGCTGCCGTAGCCACTCAGGCGTCCACTTGTTCTGCTGAGCGTTGCGGGTGGGGATAAGGTTGTCCCACGAGTTGTCGAGCACCGAGATGATCTTGGTGCACTGCTGCATCCCCGACACCTTGCTGCCCGCCACTGCCATCCTCGCATAGGTGTCCTTGACCTTGTCAAGGACCGGCTTCACAGCATCTCTGGCTGCATGGAGAGGGCAGCCAGCTCCTTCTCCAATACGATCACCATCCGCAGCGTGTTGGGCTGAACCACGTCGCGTAGCAGCTTCCACGCCTTCGGTCCCGAGTCATCGAGCTCCACCAAATCCTTGATGTGTTGGAACATGTCTTTGTTGACCGACTGTAGAATAAAGTCGTACAGCACCGCGCTCCGCTCAATCCACACATCGCGGGCATCTCCTTCGTTGAGCATCTTCTCCTCTCCCATAGCCATTTTCAGCAGCTTGTAGCGCTTGAAGGCGCTCCTCATCCGCCCACTCCATTCCTCATAGTTGGAGCCATCCAATGCTTCAATCTTGGATGGTGCCGGCTCACTCCTCTTCTCAGCTGCATCTCCATTCCCTTGATTCATCTCCTCTGCTCCCAATTAGAGGTTTCAGCTCCCCCCTTTGCTGGTCACAATGTAGATCCACACAATCTTCACAAGTGTCGGCGCCAACGAAATTTCGGCAGAGTTTCCCCTTAGCGGAAGTCACATCCAACCTCCAGAACTCCACTTAGGCACACCCACAGGCCATGGTGGGTCTAAGAGGGTCTTCACACTTTAGTAGACTCTCCACAAAGTCCTTAATCAGCTCTGATACAACTTTTTTAGAGACAAAGGACGGAGTCCATAAAGATTATGGGCCTAAATTTCTCAAATCGTTGGTCTCAATTTCTGGACAGAAAAGTCGAGTTCACAAGAAACGCCTTCAACACAAGTTCACAGTCAAAACTTCACCAAACTCAGATATGATGTAGCTCTACTTCGTGGCTACAATTCCCAAGTTGAATCATACAAAACGATGAAGTATTTCTTGAGTTATCAATTTCGGCGCACCAGGGGGTATGCTGCCATAGAATCTTAACTCAATCACAAGAGTCTCACAAGTTCACAATTACTACACAAGAGAGTTAGAGTAGCACTAAACCAGGTGGAAGGGATGAGTAGGATGAGAGGGAAGGTCTCAAGAGTGTCCCCAACCAAGGAAACCCCATGCCACACAATTCCCTTCCCCATAGGCAACCCAACTTTGACCTTTGTCATTATCCCAACCTCCACAATCCACCTCAACCCAACTTGGCCACACTTGCCAACCTGGTTTGATTTCACCCAACCATTTGGCAGCAACTACAGTAGAAAAGACGAATTTCCCAACCCCCAAAAGTCTGTACCCCATATTGAGTCAACCCCACAACTTCCTATAGTCTCCACAATCAAATATGAAAAGCATACAAACTCCAACGTTCGTAACTTTCTTGATCGTGCTCCGATTGAAGCGATACTTGGTTCGTCGGAAAGCTCTTGAGCACAGGAGTCACTTCCGATATCTGCTCAAGTCAAATAACATTCACATATACTCAGAAAAACCAAACCACATCAAATACAAATTCTTGCACAAGCTCACACCACGCATGCAACGCACAAACATGTGATGGGAGGCAGACAGACGTGAATGCAAATGATAGCATCACATAACACAACCCATATCGCCTTGGCACCAAGCTTGTTATGTCGAAGATGCTTAGGCAAGAGCACCTTGGGCTTCCTTTGGATCCACTCCAGATAGGGCACCCATTTGTCTGCTCCCACATGAGTCAAAGCTCTGTTCTTGGCCACACACGCACTCCGCACCTCATCAGGCCAGAAATAGCCGGGTAGCCCTGCTTCAATGACCAACCCGCGTGCCATTTCCGTGATAGTCCGGTTTGTTTGCTCAAAGACGCCGTTCATTGCTGTTGGTGTAAGGGCCTAATAAACTCAAGCTATTAAGACTTTATCACACTTAAAACCTCTCCTCAGGGTCACCTCCAAGGGTCCTTGGGTGCCTGGTACAAGACCAGCCCCTATCCTCGGGTCCGAGTTTGTAGAGAGAGGGATCAAGAGGGACTTAGTCAAAACAGCAAGAGTACCTTGAACGTCGCGCAGCGTATCGTGCAGACCGTCAATCGGATTAAGCTGAGTATTTCCTATATCGAAGCTCACTCTAAGAGCTTTAAAATAAGCCAAGTTGCCTCGCGAAAAGTTCTGCCATTACGAAGTTATGGCTCGGACAGCGTTAGTCTAGCGTTGGAGTGCTAGCGTACTAGCGTTGACTCGGGTAGCATTCCGCCGTCGCACCTCGTAGAAAGGAAATTCCAGGAAGGGAGGAATTCGCTTGAATCAATTTCACTATATTCAGGTACAAACAGAGAAGGAATAAATAGCTCTAGCTAGCAAGGACCTTGGGAATCAACCTGGGAACAACCAGGGATGATCCCAAATAATTCCAAGCAACAGAACCAACCTGGCTGGACAAAATAGCAGGTGGTAGGTTGGTCAACAACCTCTGGTTCTGTTTTTCCAACCTGGGAAAACAACAACCAGGTTCAGGTCCTAAAAACAGAACCTGTTTTGTCTTTGCCCAACCAGCCAAATGCTGGTTCCGCTGGTTTCCCCTGGCCCTGTAGCATGCAGATACAGACAAACAACATCCAACCTTCACCTAAATTGTACCCCTATAGTGCCTGCCCTGCTACACTATAGTCAACCAAACAAAACAGTACAATTTCGAGTTGGATAGAACTGAATCTGCGCAATCAAGTAAGCCGAACCACAAAGCTTCCATCTTGGGTTCCTTTGCGAGCTCGTCCTTTCTGCCTGTACTGTTCACAGCGCGTACAATGTTATGCCGAAGCGCACATTGTGCGAGTACCTGCAAATGCTTCAAGCGAAAATTGCGAAAGCAAACAAACACACGAACATACCATTCACACACAAATGCATTCGCACACGCACACTCGTACAAACAGACGGCAGGATGTCGTGCAATGTGAATTTGCACCCAACAATCGCAGGGGAGCATGGCATGGTGAGGGAGTGCCTTATGCCATTTTTATTCAGCCACAATAAGAACTTCTTCCTCAGGAACTCTCTCCCTCGATCGGTGCAGTTTGATTTGACTAGCCGGTCTTGTTGCCGCTCCACCATCGGCAACCAATCGATCATCACCATTTCAGCCACGTCGCTCTTCTTGGACAGCACGTACACCCAAGTCATGCGGGTTTATACGTCAACAATGGTGAGGAAGTGTTGGATGCAAATTCACATTGCACTACATCCTGCCGTCTGTTTGTACGAGTATGCGTGTGCGAATGCATTTGGGTATGAATGGAATGTTCGTATGTTTGTTTGCTTTCGCAGTTTTCGCTTGATGCATTTCCAGGTACTCGTGCAATGTGCGCTTCGGCACAATATTGTACGCGCTATGAACAGTACAAGCAGAAAGGACGAGCTCGCAAAGGAACCCAAGATCGAAGCTTTGCGGTTCAACTTACTTGATTGCCCAGATTCAGTTCTATCCAACTCGAAATGGTACTGTTTTGTTTGGTTGATTATAGTGTAGCAGGGCAGGCACTATAGAGGTACAATTTAGGTGAAGGTTGGATATTGTTTGTCTGTATCTGCTTGCTACAGGGCCAGGGGAAACCAGCGGAACCAGCATTTGGCTGGTTGGGCAAAGACAAAACAGGTTCTGTTTTTTGGACCTGAACCTGGTTGTTGTTTTCCCAGGTTGGAAAAACAGAACCAGAGGTTGTTCACCAACCTACCACCTGCTGTTTTGTCCAGCCAGGTTGGTTCTGTTGCTTGGAATTATTTGGGATCATCCCTGGTTGTTCCAAGGTTGATTCCCAAGGTCCTTGCTAGCTAGAGCTATTTATTCCTTCTCTGTTTGTACCTGAATATAGTGAAATTGATTCAAGCGAATTCCTCCCTTCCTGGAATTTCCTTTCCACGAGGTGCGACGGCAGAATGCTACCCGAGTCAACGCTAGTACGCTAGCACTCCAACGCTAGACTAACGCTGTCCGAGCCATAACTTCGTAATGGCAGAACTTTTCGCGAGGCAACTTGGCTTATTTTAAAGCTCTTAGAGTGAGCTTCGATATAGGAAATACTCAGCTTAATCCGATTGACGGTCTGCACGATACGCTGCGCGACGTTCAAGGTACTCTTGCTGTTTTGACTAAGTCCCTCTTGATCCCTCTCTCTACAAACTCGGACCCGAGGATAGGGGCTGGTCTTGTACCAGGCACCCAAGGACCCTTGGAGGTGACCCGAGGAGAGGTTTTGAGTGTGATAAAGTCTTAATAGCTTGAGTTTATTAGGCCCTTACACCAACAAGCTGGTATCAGAGCTGCGTTATAGTGATCATCGATATGGGTAGCTATGGGGGGCAACACCTCGACGGGAGCTGGTGAATCTTCAGCCCAAGATCGTAGTGGCAGCCATGATTCTGGTGTTTCAGCGCCAAGGGGAGCGCGAACAAACCAGGGCTCGCTGGTCAAGGAGGTGCTGAAGAATTTCACCGTCGAGAAGTTCAATGGTGAGGGCTATGATGATTGGGCCTGGAAAATGCAACTCTATTTCCGTCAGATTGGATTGCTGAAACTAATTATTGGGGAGGAGCCTAGACCGAGTGACCCCGCGCTGCAGGAAGATTGGGACGAGCGCTCCTCGGCTGGCTACTATTTGATGTCGCAGAGTTTGTAGCTGAACCAGCGTCACCACGTCATGCACCTGCTGCCGGAGGTTGAGTGCGGTCCAAAGGCGTGGACCGTATTGAAGGAGCTGCACGCCCCGACCTCTGTTGTTGCAACATTGATGCTGGAGAGGGAGCTGTCCGCGTTGCACCTGAGCGAGGGAGAGCCGGTGCAACGTGTCCTGGACAAGATGCGCAACTTCTACGCGAAGTTGGCGACCGCGGGAATCACCTACCCGGAGCAGACCAAGTGCCTGAAGATGCTCTCGCTGCTGCCGGAATCGTGGCTTCAATTCACGAGCGGATTGAGCCTGCCGCAGAACCAGAGCTCGTGGACACTCGAGTGGGTGCGGACAAAGATTTCTTGAGGAGGACTTCCTTCGCCTGAGGGGTGGAGACGACGGCAGCAGCGGCTACGGGATGCAAGGGAGCCGACGTGGCAGAGGACGTGGCTTCGGTGGTGCTGGACGCGGTGCAAAGAAGGACGACGACTCCAACGACTTACAAGGAGGTACCGGTTGGGGTCGCGGTCCGAAATCTGGAAGTGGGGGCAAGCCAGGTGCTGGTGGCAAAATGAAAGGGAGTTGCTGGTATTGTGAGAAGGAGGGGCACCCCTGGTTTTTGTGCTACAAGAAACCCGATGGATGGACCCTCCAGAATCGTCACCAGGATGGCGGCGCGCGGAGGAACCAGAAAAACGGCGCGAGCATGGTTGCCGATTCGTCCAACAACAACCCGAAGAGCAACGGCGGTGTGGAAAAGAAGAAGGAGCGCACCGCGGGCCAGTTCGTCCATATTGGAGAGAAGGGGGAGCAGGGGGAGCAAAGAGACGCCTCTGCCAAGGTTGGAGC